GGTTATTGTATAAAGAATATCTCTCAAGATAAAGAAAAAAGAAGATAAAAACAAACTGAAGAGACTAACAAGCCCAGAAACAATGAGGGTATTTATAATATAAACATACATATGATAGAATTGCTGTTTCATACCATGGAGAAAAGATAGATTATTCAGTGAAAGGTGTGGGGACAAATGACCAACATTAAAAAAAACAAATTCAGGTTAGATCTCTAATTCATATGTAACATCAAAACTAAATGTTTGGGGCGCCTGGGTGGCGCAGTCGGTTAAGCGTCCGACTTCAGCCAGGTCACGATCTCGCGGTCCGTGAGTTCGAGCCCCGCGTCAGGCTCTGGGCTGATGGCTCGGAGCCTGGAGCCTGTTTCCGATTCTGTGTCTCCCTCTCTCTCTGCCCCTCCCCCGTTCATGCTCTGTCTCTATCTGTCCCATAAATAAATAAAAACGTTGAAAAAAAAAATTAAAAAAAAAAAAAAACTAAATGCTACTGGGGCAATTGTCAAATCAAATCAAATATGTTTTTTTAAAGTGACATTTTTAATGTACTCCCAACACAGAAATTATTTTCAAATAACTAAAATAATAAATCATTAAAAAGTTAAATCGGGGTGTCTGGGTGGCTCAGTCAGTTAAGCATCTGACTTCGGCTCAGGTCATGGTCTCATGGGCCATGAGTTCAAGCCCCGTATCGGGCTCTGTGCTGACAGCTCAGAGCCTGGAGCCTGCTTTGGATTCTGTGTCTCCCCGCCTCACTCCTCCTCCCCCACTAATGCTGTGTCTCTCTCTGTCTCAAAAATAAATAAAACATTAAAAAAAATGTTTTGGGGCACCTGGGTGGCTCAGTGGGTTAAGCGGCTGACTTCGGCTCAGGTCATGATCTCGCGGTCCATGAGTTCAAGCCCCGCGTCGGGCTCTGTGCTGACAGCTCAGAGCCCGGAGCCTGTTTCGGATTCTGTGTCTCCCTCTCTCTGACCCTCCCCTGTTCATGCTCTGTCTCTGTCTCAAAAATAAATAAATGTTAAAAAAAAATTTTTTTTAATGTTTTAAAGTTAAATCAAAGTAGAAATAAGTATGTGGAAGAGGCAGTTTCCTAAGAAAGAAATGGAAGGCAACAATGTAAAGAAAAGCATGAGTAAATGTGCACACACGACAGTGTGAGACGTGGGTGTATTAGAGAGAAGCCATATACATTTCATTCATATTTTCTCCTGCATTTATACAAAGTTTTGCATATGCTTTCCTATGATTCTTTTAACTTTTTAAATTTATTCATTTGACTTTTTCATTTCTTTATTTTTTATTTACTTATTTATTTTTAATATTTTTATTTATTTTTGAGACAGAGAGAGACAGAGCGTGAGCAGGGGAGGGGCAGAGAGAGAGGGAGACACAGAATATGAAGCAGGCTCCAGGCTCTGAGCGGTCAGCACAGAGCTGGACACGGGGCTCGAACTCACTGCGAGGTCATGACCTGAGCTGAAGTCGGACGCTTAACTGACTGAACCACCCAGGCACCCAAGACTTTCTCATTTCTGATTTTTTTAATTCATGCTGTCTCCCCTTTCATAATTATGTCAGTCATATCAACCAAAAGCAAAATAAAACTATATTCAAAATGAAAAGGCAAATGACAAACTAGGGAAATATCCTCAATGATTGAAAACATGAAAAGCTCATTACTTAAAGAATATCTTTGAAAATAAAGAAGAGAGAAAACAAAATAAAATTGAGAAAAAAATGGGTAAAAGAATAAAATATGTAATTTACTTAAAAAAGAAAAAATGATAATGTACATATTAAATTTTTAAAATCTCATCCGTAATGAAAAAAATGCAAGTTAAAACAATGACATATGTATTTTTTGCCTCTCAATTTGGTAAGGATATATGTATGTATGTATGTATGTATATGTATATATATGTACGTGTGTATCATGCCTGAAGAACAATGAAGCATGAGGCATGGTTCATAAAGTGAATGAACATCTTATTTGAGTTGTTTCTTTTGTCTACTTAAGCTTGGAATTCAAATTTTAACTTTACCTAAAAGAACTATAAGCAAAAGAATCAAACGCAAGGATCCACAGTGTGGTTAAGAAGGAAAACTAAAAAAACGGTGAACTTTAGCTCTGAGAGATATGAAATTGTTACAAGTTATCCGAGGAGCTAGTTGGAAAACAATAAATAAATAAATTCCTCATGAGATTCCATTTAGGCCTGGTCTTGTGTCAAGGGAGGGGAAGAGGCTTCTGGGTGGCTCAGTCAGTTGAGCACTGGACTCTTGATTTCCACTCAGGTCATGGTCCCTGGGTCATGGGATCGAGCCCCCAGTCTGGCTACATGCTCAGTGTGGGGCCTGCTCAGGATTCTCTCTCCCTCCCCTCTCTCTGCTCCTCTACCCCACTCTCTCTCTCTCTCAAATTAAAAAACAAAACAAAACAAAAAAGAAGGGAGGAGGAGCTGATGGGGTGGAGCCATATCCCCCTGAGAGAAGTTCTTTCTCCAACAGGAGGAGCCTGACCATGAAAGAGTGAAGCTCCTAACTGAGCAGATAGGAAACCCTTCAGAGAAGCTCAAGGTTGGAGGGAGGTCACTCTGAATCTCCATCGTTCTACCTCAGCTAGGGAGCAAGGAGAAGGATGAGGGCCGAGGGAAACTCGCTTTTGAAATCATCCCTTCATCATCAAATTATACTTAGCTTTTTCCAAGGACACTACAAGAACACACAAGTTGGGCTGTAGGCAAGTTTGAGAGGTCCTGATGGGAAGAAGCAGCTTGAATTGATGGGGGAAGATTAGGGACAGTGAAAGAGCCGTGTGACAGATCTGGCCAGACAGCACAGTGGGAGCCATGTGGTTCACATACTGTATTCACCCTGCTGAGCAGGGGTTTTGACTGATTTCGCAAACTGATGGGAAATCAATCAGGAGAGAACAAGGACATACACTGCCACTGAAATCGATGTGTCAGTTGTGTGACAGACGGCGGAAGCCGCTTCCTCCCAAATGCTCACCCCTGCGACTAGTCGCCCTCCTCTTCCATGTGCCCCTTTCCAACGATGCTATGACTTACATTTGATTGGTTGTCTAAATACCCTTCATCTTTCCTTCAGGATTCCTCCCAAGTTCAACTTGGTAGAAAGGAGGCAGTACGTTGAAATAACGTAGACGTCAATTTGTCAGTTCAGCAGAGATGACTGGGCAATCTCCAACCTCAGCAAGGTTGCTGGGCTGGCTATGGGATCACCGTCCTGCCCAGCTCCACCTCTGATGCTGGTGAGTCATTTTGCTTCTTTTAACCCTGCTTTTATGAAAAATTCAAGGGCTGGACTATGTGGTGGATAACATTTTTCCAGCTTTGGGATTTTATGAGACTACAGATGAGCAAAGAGCAAGAATACGTGATTCCCATAATGTCAGAAAACACTTGAAAAATACTTAATACACTTAATTAATAATCAAAGAAATGCATATTAAAATGGTGATATACTTTTTCTTTTTTTTTTTAATTTAACATTTATTTATTATTGAGAGACAGACACAGAGCATGAGCAGGGGAGGGGTAGAGAGAGGGGGAGACACAGAATCTGAAGCAGGCTCCAGGCTCTGAGCTGTCAGCAGAGAGCCCGACTCAGGGCTCGAACTCATGAGCTGTGAGATCATGGCCTGAGCCGAAGGTAGACACTTAACTGACTGAGCCACCCAGGTGCCCCAGTAAGACACTTTTTCATAACCTCTATGTTTGACAAAGATTTAATAAAGAAGTGATGTCATCTTCCATTGGGTCAGGGGAAGAAGAATCAGAGCTCTTTTTTGCTGTTGGCAGGAATACATCTTTTCTATAGGGCAGCTTATGAATATGCATCTAAAGTCTTAAAATGAGCATCATCTTTGATCTAAGAATTCCACTAGAATGGGTTCTGAAGGAATAATCAGGGACTCATGAATAAATTTAAATACAAAGATTTTTATTGCATCATTATTTATATGATCCGAAACCAAAGGCTGATCTTCCTTCAACCAGGAGAAATTATGGGATGCTCCATGGCAAGCTTGAGGACACTCAAAACAGGATCAGCCTGGCCACATACACACTCAACATGCCAGCGTCTCCCTCAATCCCATCTCATCCACCCACACAGAGCCACGTAGTCAGAGGCGATCCTGCCATATGACTAGTGAGACCCTGCCTTTCCAGGTGGCTGTGGTCTTCTCTGCTGAAAGACCATCAGTGGCCACCATTGGCTGCAGGACAAACCACCTATGGTTTGGTGGTTAAGGCCCTTTATAATCGAGCCTCACCCCACCAGAAAGAGCTTTTTGCCAACTTCTCCCCTCCCCTACTGACACCGCCTGCCTTCCCTTTCCCTGTCACCACACTTACTCTAACCCCCAGTCACCAGGGAGCCTGCTTTCCTCTCTCCTTCAATGGTGGCTTCCAACAAGTGTTCCCTGCCATTAACTGACCTCATTGCCCACACTTTCTAGCATAGTTTTTGTGTATATTGCCTTTTTTTCCTTTTTTGCTCAGTTTTGTTTCAAGTTTGCCTATCTTTCCAATTATAAGGTCTCTGAAACTGGCACTATGTCTTATATTTGAAAGACTACACGCTATAGGAGAAAGAACAGGCATGAAATCAGAAAAACCCATGTTTAAATCCTGTGCCATGTTGGGCAAGTTGACCTCTCTGAGCCTGAGTTTTACCACACATGAAATGCAGACAACAGTAGTTCTTTCATAGAGTTGTAATGTGGTTAATGGGACAATTGTTAACCACTTAGCACAATGCCTGCCCCATAGTACATACTCAGAAAATATTAGTTCCCTTCTTTCACTCTACTTTGGAGAAGTTGGGCTTGATAAACAGTAAGTTTAGATGAAATCTTGTGGTCTGGCCACCTCCCTCAAGGACACCAGGAACAATGAAAGACCTGTAGGGAAGGAGAGCAGGAATTGGCGAACCAGGAAATCCATGGATCTGGACTGCTGGCCCCTTACCTGATGATTGTCAGAGGGATGAAATACACCAGGAAGGCCACGATGGTCATGTATGGGATCCAGTAGGAGTCGTCAGGCCACAGTGCCCAGCACTGTACTTCACCATTAGAGAGTTTCCTTTTTCCAAATATGATCAGGGTGGGAATGGAGAAGAGGAAAGAGAGGGTCCAGGCAATCATGATGAGGACCTTGGCTTGCTTTTCTGCTCAAAGGAAAGAGAAGTTGGATGGTTTGTTCATGTAGAGATCAAAATCACCCAAGATGAGGACAGTATGAAAGGTGAGAAAGAGACTGAGCATAGTGTCTGACATCTTCACTGGGTGAGGAGCATGGCTGTGTGGTCAGACAGAGGGAACATTGTAGAAGGCAATCATGGTAACATGAGCATCAAAGGAACAGACCAGTGCACATGCAGTAATGGAGGAGAAGGGAGCTAGAAGTGATTCAGGGAGGTAGGAAAATGTCAACACCACCCCCATGCCTTGATGTTCTCAGAAGGAAGGCTGAGAAGCATCCTTTTCAGAGATGTTAGGAGGACCAGGGATCTCATGAGGCAGAGGGTGGAGGGAACCTACTGTGATGTGGTTGACAATGTAAGGGAGTTGGTTCCTGGAGGAATACAGGAAAGTTGTTCTGGGTAGAAAAAGCCATGGGAATTTGGTGAGGAAATAAGCACAGAGCAGGATGGGATTGAGAGAGCAAGTGAGATGGCTGGAAGGCTTTTCCTCTTGATCAGAGGGATGTGATCCCTGCTGGGTTTCTGCAGACCTTGACAGCATCAGTAACTGTTCCTGCATGCTCTTGTTCTTTCACTGGTTAAAATTCAAATTTTATCTTCTGTAGGTCCTAGAGCCTGGACTTTTAAGAGTGATCTGCAGCTCCTGGGCCCCACTCAGATTCCACTTGACGGGCTAACAATGTATTCACTTGTGAAAGGAATGGGCAAGGAAGTAATTAGATTCAAAGAATAGGAAACCATGCTTTAGAATTAATTCCACCAAGGTACTAAAAATGTGTCCCCAGAGTCCACCCAGGGCACATGCTTGGAATTACTTTTCTCATACAGGTGCTGGGCTGTACCGGGAAGTCCCCAGTCAGATGTGTCACCAGCAAACACACAGCAGTGGTAAGACTGTTGACCTTCTGATCAGTGGAGCCCATCTGCTATAAAGAGTGACTGTTTGGGGCTTAACACTCAGGGACAGAACAGATGAAATGCAGTCTGGGTATTAGGTAGGCCATCCTCTGTTACCTTCAAAGTTGCCTGTGTCTCCTACCCATAGGAAGACAGCTTCTTGTTCAAAGTGCTCTTGTCCAATTCTGTACTTCTGTCTTAGCCTCTACCTTTTATGCATCATAAAAGGTAGAAGTCTCTACCTTCTTTGTTTTTAGCAATGGAAGTTACACATGATAATTACAGACATACTAGCAGAGAAATAGAAGCAAAGAGAAGAAAAAAAAGTCCTTGGTGGCACCACCCAGAAATAGCCAGACTAAATTTTGATAGTGCATTCATATATAATACAATAGATTACACATATAAAAATGAGAACATAATATATATGCTGATTTTCAACCTAATTTTTTTCCCTGGAAAAAATTTTATGACCATCTTATCATGTCAAGAAAATCTTTTGTCAAAAAATTTTATGACATCTTTTCATGTCTACATCTACACAAGCGGCATTCAGAGTTTTTCAGGCAGTGAAAGCCTTTCATCAAATATTAATTTTATCCTGGGCCCAGTGCAGGATGCCTGGGTAGCTCAGGTTGAGGCTAGGTGACAGCCAGAAGCTTCCAGGCCTGTCTTGGAGCAGGTCTACAAAATGAGCCCTCCGGGCCCAGTGTGTGAAATATAATTTGAAAAGCACTGATGCATTTCCCCCCCCAACTGGTTACACTAAACTGCAATTTTATCCATAGCCTCTTATTAAGTATTTAAATTGTTTCTGATTATTTTTATTACAAATAATTTATATGTATCTCTTTGTACTGCTATTGCCTTAGGATAAACTCTTAGAAACAGATTTTGGCAAATATTATTAAATTTCTCCCAGAAGTGTCTACAACTTATGGTTCCCGCCAGAAGTCTACAGACACGACTATCTTGTTATACCCTCCCAACCCGGAGAAGATTCCCCCTCTAACTCTTGTTACCTCATTGGTAAGATTTCATATCCAAATGTTTAATTCTTGCAATTGTTTAGTTAGTGCTCCAAAAGAGTATTTCTATATATGGTCTGCTCATTTTTCTTTGTTTCTTAATAATTTGCTCATGTTCTTCGCCCACATTTTCTATTGGTATGTTCTTCTATCCTTGCCACAGTTCTTTACAAAAACAATATTACCCCTTTGTGTGTTGTATACAAATATTTTCTCACTTGTCATTTTGCTTCTTAAGCATGTGTACAATATTTATTATTTGTATAAATAGTTTTAAAGTTCTGATGTAGTGAAAACAGCATTTATTTCCCTTATTGTTTCTGCCTTGGGTGTTATTCCTAGGAAGATCTTTCTCTCACCAAGACTAAAAAAAAAAAGTTTTACTCATACTCATCCCCTTTCAAGTTTAAAATGTTTACTTTTTTCAATCCAACTGGCATTTACTTTATAATTAGCTGTGGCAGATAGCAGTCTAATATTTTTTAAGTGGCTAGACAACTATAATAACACCATATACTGAGTAATTCATTCTTTTCTAATTGACATTATTCCATATGCTTTCCATACATTATTCTGGTTTCAGTATCGTGTTTTTTAAAATTATCAAACTTTTATATTATGCTTTAATATCTGGCATCACATATTTCTCTTCATTATTAACAGATGTTTTCCTAATTGTTCTTATATTTATTTACCCTAAAGGGCCTTGAAATGTCAACTTCTCTGGAGTGGCTGGCTAAGGAAACTACCACTTTAGTAAAAAGCGTTAAAAAAAATCAGTAAAATGTGGCCTCCCCTTCCCCTCTCCTTCCTTTGCTTTAGTTGTCATTGCCTTGTGGCTGCAAAGCCACATGTGACTCTGTGTGGCTTCCACCTGCTCCTGTTCTCCACAAAGCTGTGCTGGCTGGTGGGGAATTGCTTTCTGTTGTCTTCTCTTTGTTCAGTCACGTAAACCCTTAGCTCTGCCCCTCAGGGCTGCCCTTAAATTCCAATGAGCTGTGACATCAAGAGACTCTAGCATCGGGTTCCCTGTTCTCACCTGTACCTCTCCCCCAAACTCCTGCACAGCCATACAGCCTTCCTGGGGGTGTGGCACCCATGTGTGCTAGGAATTCCTTGAAGTTTCTGGGATTTGGATGGCTTCTTTCCTTGGCTCCCACCCAGCTCCAGATCTCCTCTATTTTGACCGGGGCCAAGGTCAGACACTTAACAGACTGAGCCACCGAGGCACCCCAAGTGTCCTCGATTTCTATGGCTCTTCCATGACTTCAGAGGAATTGGCAGCGAGGAAGGGAAAATGGTTAATGTCGATTTCCAACTTTCATCTTTCCCCGAAGCCATTGGAGATGATTATTTTCTAAGTGCCCAACACTGAACCTCTATTAATTTTGTAGTGAGGAAATAAATTGCTTTACATCTTTAACAGAACACTGTGATATTCATTCCTGCCTTTTCTGTAATTTAGGACACTGTTCATAATATTGCAGTGTTTCTAGAGCTCGTCATATCTTCCATGAGCTAAACATTTGATTTTTTTTTTTTTAATCTAATGAGTATGGTGACATGGGTAACTGACCATGTTTTCCTTCTGTCTACGGATTCCCTAAGCCTCCACCTTCTGCCAAGCATCCTGAGACACCTCTCACATGTTTTCTTATATGATTTCCCTTCACTCATATTTCTGCACTTTGAAATACCCTGGTGTATGTGTTTTTTGTATGTCCCCACTCAAACCTTCCTGGGGCCTACTGGGCGCAAATACATAGATGAATGAATAAGTATATCACACTTTCGTACAGAGCATAAAATGTTTCCCCATTTTCCTTCATCTCACTCCCTGCTTCCTTCTTTATCATAATCACTGAGGCAATGGTAGTGCCTAGAAAGCTCAGTAGTGGTCACGTACCTTCACACACACACACACACACACACAAACAAAAACAACCCTAGAAAAAGCCTAAAACAGGTGTAAATTATATTTTTAAATTGGTTTTAACTGCACACAACACATCAATATACCTTCTTGTATGTAAGTCCCTGTGGTCACTATGACTAGTCCAAATCCCATCCCCAGAAGTGAGGACTATTTGGTGTGTGTCCTTGGAAGCAATTGCTTATTACTTTCTTTTCTTTCTTTCTTTCTTTCTTTTTTTTTTTTTTTTTTTTTTTTTTTTTTACTATCCATTGCTATCCCAATACCTCACTGAGAGGCAGGATATATGGTAGTCAAAGACACCCATGCTGTCTTGGGTTCAAACCTTGCCCCTACACCTACCAGCTGTGTGATCTTAGGCAAGTTACTTTAACTATCTGAATTGCAATTGTCCAGACTATAAGATTCAGATAATAATAGCATCTATCTCCCAGAGATGTTGTAAGAATTAAAGTACCTAACATTCATAAAGAGCTTAGAATCGTGAATGGAATATAGTATGCAATCAATAAATCTAAGCTACTGAAACTTCTACATAGGCTAGCCAGCCATTCCTCCAACGAGGGAATCCCTGCTATTCTAAGCAACATTACCATAAACGACATGTGTGCATACTTGCATGCATGTGGGTGTTTGTCAAGAGAAGATACCAAAAAGTAGAATTCCTATGTCAAAGGGCACATGTGCCAATATTATCTGATATATTCAATAGATTCTGATGACATTAATTCTACTTATTCTAACGTTCTGCTTGTTCTGTTCATTTTGCTTTCTTAGTTGTAAACTACACAGAATGGTATTTTAAAGTATTATCTATTGGCCACGTTTTGACTTTTGTCCCATTTTCTATATTTGATTGCACCTCATCTTTGTAGTCAAGATTTCACATTAGGTTCTTCATTTCATAAGTTTTCATGGGCTGCTTGGGAAAGCGTGGTATGGGTCACTGAACATTGGGTTATTACTTGCTTTCAGGGGTCATGGAGGAAAGTAAGCTCTGCCCACGGGCAGAGTAATGGATAATTAGTCTCATGACTAGGTACCCATCACCCCTCCGAGGACTCATTGATTCCTAAGACCCCCAACTCTGTCTCTCCAAATCCAACACCCCCACGATTAGGAGGAAGAGACCTCCATCCCTGTTGCCTCTCTAGGGCAGGGGAGGCCAAAGGGAAAGGAAACATGCAGTGATCAACCCTCCTTGTTGTGCTCCAGAAATCACCCGTTAGTTTCCTTGAGTCCTTCCTGCCCTGGGCCTTTACACAATCTTAACACTTCACCCACATTACTGTAGCCTGTGGGTACTGGCAACCGTGTGGCTTCAGTCTTCCCTCTGATCCATCTGCATCCTCCTAAGGATTCCTTACTATCACTGGATCAAGGAGAATGTTCTTTGTTTCCAGTATTGTTATGAATTAAAAAAATCTTTCCAATTATTTCTATGGTTTGGGAGTACAGAGGGCAAGGTGCTTGTTTCTGGAAAATGAGCAAGTTGAAGTGGGAATATTCATTTCTTGGGAGAGGTGTATGTGTCAACACTGCTCTAAAGGAAGAGACCAGAGGCATTAGGGTCAAGGGAAATGGTCACAAAGTGGGCCCAGCAAACTACCCTCCTTAGTAGCTCTTGACCATCCGTGGGAACCATCAGCATTTCCCCAGGCATCCTGCCTCTCTTTCTACATCTTTATGGACAATCAGACCCATTAAATAGAAAGAAAGCAGAGAAGGAGAAAGTGGGAGGAAAAGAACCATAGAAGATATCAGTGAGAACAATCCCACTCTCACCCAAGGATGATTTCTTACAGAATAGTGCTTGGTTGAGCCAGCTCACCTCCTTGCAGGAACTTCATGGGGTAGACGATGGCATGGTATCTGTCTATGCTGAGGGACACCAGGACATAGGTAGAGGCATAGAGCAGCACAACCTGAAGACAGAAACGAGAGGGGGTGCATGACTTCATAGAAGTGAGGGAATCCACACAATGGGAAGAAGAATGTTCTGTGCTATTGAGAAACCTGCGCACCAAACCTAGGGAGGGATGAAGTTTGGGTGAGGGAGAGAAATGATTCACTCCCTGTGTCTACAAGCAGATTGCTATTCTTGGTGCTGCACTTGTCATTGTTAGTCGTAGCTGGGGAGAATGCTTCCAGATCACCCTTCCTCACTCATTCATTTGGCTTCTTGGAGACTCCACATCTCAGGATCAGTCTCTCTTGACATTTGCATGGTACATTTGTTTGTAATTGACTTTTAAAGCTAACCTAATTTTCCCTGCCACAATTGACATTCCAGAATAATTAGAAACAAACGTTCATTTGCCTTTTATCAGTGTGAGTTGTTGAGAGACAATGGAAGGGATCTGGTTTCTGGGAGCCCATGTGCTGTTTAGAATCATTTATCATCATCTGCATTGACAGTCTCAGAGCTCACTTCCTCCTCCACTTCTCTGGTATAACTGTTCATTAAGGCCAGTCCTTGGGTCCCCCCCTTCCTCCTTCCCACCCTCTCTTTTATTAACCTTACTCATGCCCTTTAATTATCCTGAGTACAGTGTTATTTGCATAGTTTGCAGAGAAGGAAATTGGGATATAAGAGGTTAACATCTCTCATGTTAAAAGCATAATCAAAATGTAATTAAATGAAATATTTCTGAAAGAATGATCAAGGTGGAAAGTTTTCAGGTAACTTTGAGCCTTATTTATACCAAGAGTCTAGTCATATCTCTGCTTTGTAACCTTTGGATCAATTCCAGAGCAGGGAAGAATAACTCAAAGACCAGAGTCTAAGGGTGAGTGTCTGAATCTCTCCTAAAAACAAAATAGAAATACCGTGACTTTGGCAATAACTTTTGTCTGAATTTATACCTTATTGTTCTTTCTCTCATTCAGAAAAATAACAATCAACTATGTTATTGTTCTCTATTATTTTTATTTGTATAACACCACCGCAAATGCGTCCTGGCACTAATGTTGTGGAAGGTGCCACAGGGTGGGAGTTCTGATTAAAGATTGAAGGCTTTCCTGAGGGATATAAGAAGAAATTCTCCTCTTGCTAAAAAGATGCAATATGGACAGGGAGAAGAATTTTGGCCAAATTTAACCAAAAAATTTAGACAACAGTCTTCTTAGAGAAAAGTGGGATTTGTACGTGTGACCTATGAATTCAGAACTATTAAGGATGGCCACACACAGCATAGGAGGTGGCATTCGAGGAATATGAGAAAGAAAGCTCCCAAGGGCAGAACTCTATGGGATGGAACATCTTGGTGAGAAGGTCGTAAGAATCTCAGCCATCTTTGACTGTGTTGAGTGACTGTGACCTTGAGGAACTTGCCAACACAAGTTCAGAATTTGAAGCAAGATGAAAAAGGTCACAATAAGGAGTGGCTGGAGGAGTAGGCGATGTTAACACAAAGAGATGTACTTTCAGACAGTCAAAAAGAGTAGTTAATTTCAAGGGTCTTCAAACATGTAGGCAGGGTAAAAAAAAATTAAAGGTTACATAAAAGAAATGCATCTCAAATTGTCATGCCTCTTTTTTACAAAAATAAATGCCAGAAAACAGCATAAAAACATGTTCAGAGTTTTGAAAGAAAAATTATGATCCAAGAATTTTGTAAATATCATTTCTGTGCCAAGGCACAGAATAGTTTTCTTAAATGTATAAAAAAAGAAAGTATAACATCACATAATCTCCTGAAAAATCTTCCTTGAGGAAATATTTCTGCTGACTGAGCATTGTTTAAAAATTAAGAACTCTAGAAGAGGGATGGGATTGAATAATAATAGCTATGGTAAGCAATGAGTCCCCCCAAATCCCACAAAATGTTTACAACATCATTATGAATATAGTTAGGAAACATTCCAGGGAAAAATCTGGGGAATTGAGTGAGAAGAGAGAGTAGAAGGAAAGAAATCATATTATATATTTCCATTTGGTCATTTTAGACATCTCTGTTGTTTTTTACTTTGATAGAGACATATTACATTTAAAAATTAAAGATAAGCTTTGACATAAAATAAAAGGGGGGAAAATAATTTATTAGCTTCTTACGGCTATTGTAACAAATCACCACAAGCTTCATGGTTTAAACCAGCATAAATGCACTTTCTTACACTTCTAGAGACTAGAAGTCCATAATCAGTTACACTGGGTCAAAAATTTAGGTGTTGGCAGGGCCACCCTCCCTCCACAAGCCCCAGAGGAGAATCCATTCCTTGCCTCTTTCAGCTGAAGGTGGCTGCCAGTATTCTTTGACTCGTGGCCACACCAATCTCATCTCTGAGTCTATGGTTACAATGGCTCTTCTGTCTGTTTGTCAAATCTCCCCCCTTCCCTTTAATAAAGGATATATGTAATTACACTTGAACTCATCAAGATAATCCAGAATAATCTCCCCATTCAAATTCCTGGACTTAATTACATCTGCAGAGTCCTTTTTTGCCATATAAGGTAATATATATAGGTTTCAGGGTTTAGAATTTGGATTTGGGGGTGCCATTTTTCAGCCTACCACAATTAACAACCAAGCAGGAAGGAAAAAAAACATGTAAATAAAAAAATTAACACAGAAAGATTAAAATGAGGTGACTTCAATAACACCAAACACTATTTGTCTCAATAAATATAAATGACTTAACCTCCTTGACTAAAACAAAGACTATGTACAAGACCCTTCCACAAATCTAACTGTATACTGTGTTGAAAATAAGCCTCTCAGTCCAAATTATTATCAAAGTTTAAAAATAGAGTGATGGCCAAAGGCATAGGAAAAACTAAAATCAAAAGAAGGCATTTACTACAATACTACTATTTGACAAATTAAATTCAAAGCAAACTGTACTACATGGGACAAAGGGATTATTTTTATTGATACAATAGATAATGATGACAGAATATTAATAAACTTATATGTAACAAGTAACATAATACTAAATATGCATAACTAAAATGTTCAAAGACTTACCAAGTATAAAACACAATAATACATAGAAATAATTAAACACATTTAAAAAATAATACACATTATTGTAAAATATCTAGGCAACATTTCAAAAATTGATCATAAAATAAACTACCAAGAAAAAAAATCCCTCAATAGATTTCAAAATTATACAATTTATATAATTTGCATATTTAAAACAACAAGCAATAAAAACTGAAATCAGTATCATGTTATTTTTTTTTTAAATACCACTTGGAAATTTAAACACCCTTGTAATTAACTTGAGTCAAGAAGGAAATCAAAGTACAATTATAGTCAATTCATAAATGTCAACAATGAAAATTCTACACATCAACAACATATGGGATACCATTTGGATAACAGATGGCAGATTGAGGACATATGTCTGAATTCTCACTACCCCACCCCTCTATTCTGACAAAAATGACCTAGGAAATATAAAACCAAAGAAAATCTTGCACAGAAGTTGAGACTTAAATGCAGCAAACTTAGAAAAATTTTATTTAGAAAAATACCAGATTGGATTCATGTAAAGGAGGATCCCTGGATTGACTTAAAAAATTAATATACTTTATTTTTTAGAGCAATTTTAGATTCATAGAAAAAAGGATAGTTTCCACCTCCATCCCCAACTTTTCCCCATTATTAACATCTTACGTGTGGTCCATTTGTTAAATTTGATGATCCAATATCAATACATTACCATTAAAGTCCATACTTGTGTTGTATAGTTCTATGGGTTTTGACAAATGAATAATGTCCCCTATCAATGATTCATACAGAAAAGCTTCACTGTCCTAAAAATGCCTTGTACTTTACCTAGTCTATCTTGCCAAATCCCTAGCAACCACTGATATTTTTACTGTCTCCATAGTTTCCCTTTTCCAGAACATCATATAGTTATCATACTTCTGTAGCCTTTTCAGACTGACTTCTTTTACTTAGCAAAGTTCATGTAAGATTCCCCCATGACTTTTCATGGCTTGATAGCCCATTATGTTTTATTGTTATAGTATTCCATGATATGGAAGTACCAAAGTTTTTTTTTTATCCTTTCAGCATTTGAGGAACATCTTACTACCAATTTTTGACAATTATGAATAAAGTTGCTATAACATTCTTGTGCAAGTTTGTGTGAACATAAGCCATCAACTCAATTGGATATATATCTAGGAGCACAATTGCTATCTTGCACGATAAGAGTATTTTCTCTTTGTTTTTAATCTTTATGTCCTTATTTTGAGAGAGTGTGTGTGTGCAAGCAGGGGAGGGGGAAACAGAGAGAGAAAGAGAGAGAAAGGAAGAATCCCAAGCAGGCTCCACACTGTCAGCACAGAGCCTGACACAGGATTTGATCCCGTGGGATCATGATCTGAGATGCTGGGATCATGATCTGAGTCGAAATAAAGAGTTGGACATTTAAGCAACTGAGGCACCCATGTGTCCCAAGAGTATTTTCAATTTTTTAAGAAACTTCCAAAATATTTTCCAAAATGGCTGTACCATTTTGCACTCCTACTAACAGCACTAGCATTTTGTATCATCAGTTGTTTGGATTTTAGTCATTCTAATAAGTATGTAGTGCTTTCTCATTTTAATTTGCAATTCCCTAATGCCATATAATGTTTCTTTTGATATGCTTGTTCATTATCTATATATCTTCTCTGGTTAGCTGTCTGTTCAGATAGTTTGCCTATTTTTAAGTGGGCTGTTTCCTTACTGTTGAGTTTTAAGAGGTCTGTGTGTGCGTGTGTGTGTGTGTGTGTGTGTGTGTGTGTGTGTGTGTGTATACATTTTTTTAGAGAGAGAGTGAAGGGAGGAAGGGGCAGAGGGGGCGGAGAGAGAGAGAGAGAGAGAGAGAGAGAGAGAGAGAGAGAATCTTAAGCAGGCTCCACGCTCAGCACAGAGCCTAACACAGGGCTCGATCCCATGACCTTGGGATCCTGACCTGAACCAAA